CTGCACTCCCGTTGGGCTACCCTGCACTGGCATAGCCCTCTTCGTTGAGCAAACCACTACCGCAGTCTAGGTAATAGCACTGCACTCCCGTTGGGCTACCCTGCACTGGCATAGCCCTCTTCGTTGGGCAAACCACTACCGCAGTCTAGGTAAGCAATAGCATTGCACTCCTGTTGGGCAAGCCAACAATATACTAGCTCAGCCATGGCATAGCACTCTTCGTTGGGCAAACCAGTGAGTACCGTAGGGTAAACCATATATATAGGCAAGTTCCGAGTGAAGAACTATTGTTTAAAAGGAGTAATTACTCTGTCTATACCATGATATCTCATATTATGGGGTTCTATGGCAGGTTGGTCATTCGATACGATAAGATCGAGCAAGGCCGTCGGCAATGTTTTTCACCTGTCCACATGTTTGCTGCCAGCTCCCCCGCAGGCGGCACATTGTGCCATCAGGATTTCACAAGGTCCAACTGACCCTAGTCAACATCTGGAATGCGCGTCTTCTGACGCAACCGACGAGGAGGAGGCTTGTCTTCGCACACCCCGCACAAGCAAACATCAGAGGTCTTAATAGTGGAAATCTCTCGAGATTTCTTGACAATGGCATCTAGAACCAGTGGCGTTGCTTTGCAAGCCGCAATGCACTTGCCCGTTCCGAGCTTATGACACGCCTGCATGCATGAATCACACAAGCTCCCACTGACCACTCTGGTCTTCATATTCCAACGGTAGCCCCATCCGCAGCTATGCTTGCGGCGGGAACAGAAGGAACACTCGTGAGATGTGCTATGAAGATGTCCACTTGGGTTCCCTTTATTGGAGCCAAGTGTTGCTCTTGCCAACTTCAACTTCTCAAAGGTCCCAGGGCTGAGGGGTAAGCCTTTCTCTGCGGAAATGGCAGAATCCAGGGGCCGCTTTTTGGCCGGTGTACTGGGAACAACTTCTGGCACAATGTCAATGCTCTCACTGACTTTGCCGGCGTTGCCAACTGCACCGTTTCCGTCTAACATCTCGGTCTCTGCCACTCCACACGCTTCCACGACATCTGCTGCTGGGCCTGCAGGGAACTGCAGGGAAGGGAGGTGGACATGAAGCAAACAGGGGTGCAGGACAGGCTCTATCAATTAGGCAAAACCTTGAGAAACGTTCAATGCCCTCAAAAAATGCTACAACAGGCTTGCCAAAGCAGAAGCCATGCCTTCATTTTCATGTTCCGCTCGCAGGTCTTGCTTGGCATCAGCTGTCTTGGGCTTATTCATGTCAGATTGTACTGCGTCACCTTCAGTTTCACTTCCGAACGTGCACAGCATGCACATGAAAAGAAAAAGAAGTCAGGTGATGGGTGTCTCTAGGCAGCCAGTATAGCCTCTGGAATGCAAAAAGTAAGGGGTGTCCAACAATAATCTCTGGAATGACACGACAATTTTTTCGGACCTTGCCTGACTGACCAAAGCTAGAAAGCTGCTGATCACCGTTCCCCTGCCCCATCTTCAAAAGGTCTTCTGCTTTGCCCACAGTGTCTGACCCACACGCATTGCCCACAATGCTCTCAGGCTTCGGCGTCACAGCATCCTTCAGTGGAGAAAGCGCTGGACGAAGTCTACATATGGGCCGAGCCAACAGAAAGATGCTCAAAGATAGGAAAACAGAATTGAGCCGAGTTTCCTCTGAAAAGCCATGCTCTTTGGCCTGCTTCTTACTTTTGTATTGCTTGGTCTTGCCCTTCTCATCTGTCTTAATGTAGACCCCTGGGGTCAAAAAGGAGTTTGTTTCATCGGATAGCTGACAGCCATGGTTGCTAAGTCCGTTCTCGGTACTTGTTTAATGATGGCTTTTTCATTGTCTCATGATGGTTCTGTCAAAGCATCCAAAGAATTTCAATGTCTGCAGGCAAGAAGCAGTACTTGCGATCACTGCTGATCAGCTCACGCTGCTCAACCCGCCACATGGCGTGCGTCACCCCCCCCCTTTAAGCTCAAAAAAGCTTCGCCACACAATGAACACACATGCTGAAGACGTGTACTAGACTGGCGTTGTTCTGTTAGAGACCGTCATGTATGTATACATAGGGGTATCGTTTTTTATCAGTCCCCTATCGTTTTTCAAGGAAAATCACAAAAGCAACACAGAGATGAAACGTCCCTTACTAAAGTAATTGATGATAATTTTGAGGTTGCCTCATATGCAGAAGATATGCCAGATAGAATGTCAGAAGGAGTGTCAAACGATATGCCGGAAGTGTCAGAAGATATGCCAGAAAGGATGGCAGAAGAGATGGAATGTCAGAAGATATGCCAGAACTAATGCTGACATATGTTTCAATACATTCCACCAAAAAAAAACATTATATTGAAATGTCATGGTGGGGATCACTCGAAGTAGAGTATATTTTTATTGATCCTATTCTTATTTGTCTTTTGATCTAGATGCCTCCCAATACCATCCCACACATTCCCACACCATCCCAATTGACATTCAACAGATAGCAGTAAGCCCTTCGCTTTGCAATGCGTTTCTATCCATTTCTATTGACCCCGCGTCCGGCCTCTCCACCCGTCCCGCCCTTTGGGCTCTCCACGCCTCCGGCCGCTGCGGCTCCGCCTGCGCGTCGGACGGGGAGCACAGTCGAGTCGGAAGGGCGGATGGTCTGGTGCTAAGGACGGATGCTTCTCGTTCACATTTGGCCCATTAAGATGTCTGGGTGGGGTGTTTTTGACTCTGAGGACCAAGTGTACTAAGATCTTTGTCGACTATGCTTACTTATCGAAGTGCAGCCTCTGTGTGGCTCCTCATCTTCTGGAGGCATGCGGCCTTGAAAAGCACAACCAATCATCAGTGACACTTACTTGCTATATACGCATGCGTTTGGAGAATCACCCAAACATGGTGACTGTGTTTTGCTTATCCAGCCGCCGGCCACCCCCTCTTCACTTCGGCGGCAAGGAACACAACAAGACCTGGATCCACTTTCGCATGGTCTAATTGAGAGACGATCAACATACATGCCAGTCCACCCAGACATGGACAGGACATGATGGGTATCTGCAACCAAATCAAATAGGTTCGGGGCGCATCACATCGCAGTTCATGTGGAATCGAGCAGTTGATGTGATGGAATGACCTGCCCGTGAAAAGTAGGAGATCTACCCAATCTCCTCCCAATACTTTCCTGCATTTTCCTCCGGAACTCTCCTATCTTTCCTGCACTTTCTCTCTCTGCTTACCTCCCTCACGGGCCTTGAAAGAAGAAAATAACGTTTCTTTTGGACCTGCATTTGGACCCCAACTCGACATCCAAGGTTGCTCACCAGTTCGGCTTTATGAGCTTCGCCATGTTCAAACCCAACAGAACGCTCACAGAAAACGTCGCGACACTTTCTGTTTCCCACATTGCCTCGGCTAAGGTTATGAAACATGTCGTCGATAGTTTGCTTGCTTGACCACTTCTTCATTAAAAGCTCGCATGCCAGTTCTGGCCTCCTGCTCCGGCTGCCTTTGCGGTGACCTCAGGTGCCGCTGTCGATCCAGTAAAGCACTCTGCGATGAAAAATGAAAGTGCGAAACCACTAAGCACCTGATGTTATCATCATCCCAAATTTCCTTAGGCCTTGACGTTAACTATGGAATTATCTTTTTTGGATCTTATTTCGGCCTAGCCCAAACCAATTTGTAAACATTGCCGACCTGGTTTGCCTTCTAAACCAGTTGGCGCTTACAGGCATGTAGAACTGGAGAGAACTGGACTCGGCGGCTCCAACAGTCCGACCCACCACCGCTTTGCACGAATGGCTGGACCTACTCGCGTGACCCAGTGAGACGTCTGTCGCCAAGGCCTCGTCAACATTGACATTGCTTCAGGGTGTTTTGTTATGGTTTGATGTTTAATGCTTGTTCTCGTGGTTTAGTCTCAAGTTCTTGTGGCATCTTGTGGTTAGTCTCACACGTACCGGTGAGACTAAGCATCCGAATGAAACACGACATCTTCACACCAACAGGTGTTTTGAGTCAAACAACAGCCACACCTCCTGCAAAATGGCTATAAACCTCACCGCCAGCAGGCGTTGCGTAAATTACCCAAGCCGGCTTGACCATGTGCTCCAGTTTGCGAAGCCGAGCTGGCGCAAGATGGCGCAAGGGAAAACTGGGTCTGTGACTTTGCCCGGATGTTTCTTGCTCACCACTCATCTTTCCAGCCAGCAAATTTGGTAATCAGTCCAACTCATAGGGAGACCAACAATCTCAGAGGGCTTCAATCTTCAGTAACAGCGATTATGAAGAATCATATGGAGAAAGGAGTATTCGAGCAGGAATCGCGAAGACATCAAAGGCGGCACGAATCGCAAGCCGGGCGGCTTCATCCGGACCGTCCCCTGTATTGGCCTGTAGAGGTAGTAGAGGTCCGCAAATAGATAGAACATGATTCAGATTTTTATGATTCTATTTATACAATGAAAGTGTAATGGAGATACTTTTGATCTTGGATTCACTACTGTATACACTTGAAACCCATATCGTGACGTTGATCCAAACCGATCCAGCTTGTTACTAGCAGCATGTTTGCACCATCAGTCCATCTGCCGCCATGCCACTCTTGGATTTGCTTCGGGCTCCTCCGCCTTGGGGCCGGAATGCTATTCATTGATCAAACAGGTTGTCATTGGAACGGTGACAGAGAATAACACCTGCCCAACAGCTTCATAATCCGTATGGATTGACCAGATCGGTGGAAAAGCTGACAATACTTGGATGATATGAACCCCGATGCACTCTCCAAACTTAGGTACTTGGGATCGATTTCAAACAAAGAAGTAGAAGTAATTAGATGTACTTAGAGGATGAATTGTGGAACAAGAGGTCTATCCTGCCAAGGCAATGCTGGCAAATGCTGCAGTTGGCGGATCTACAGGAATCTTTGCATCCATATTCAGAAAATGACTGAACGCTTTTACTTTGGAATTGTTACTGACAGGTCTATTGAAAGCTAGTCTTTGGGATGCACACCCTATACGTTCTGTGTGCTAAGTGGAGAGGTGGATCCTACAACTTCGCCAAATGCTGCTACATCATATCGCTAACCTACCAACTTTGATAACAGAACAACTATTGATAGGACCCAGACTCCATCGGTCCAGGGTGGTGACCCGTCCACTTAATCCGCCAGAGTTTGGCGCCTCTCCGCCCACGTCCGAGTTGGGGGTCTTCGGTCATCAAGACCCTTCAAGGATCCCAAGACCGGTGTAACACATGGTGGAGACATGTTTAAACATGTAAACATTGAAAACCACCATAACCAAACATTCAGCTCTTAAACTTGCATGGCCATATGCACCATCATCCAAGCACACTCCCCAGCATGTTTGAGGTGTTTTAGACAACACGTACTGCCTTAAAGTTATACACTCTCTTATAGATTTTGCTTTGTTTCTCGTCTGGATCGCCAATCCTACGGATGAAAGTCAACGTCAAACGAACCGACGGATTGCTTTCACTTCTCTGGCGTGGGCTTGGACGTATACACAGTAAGACTCAGTAGAACCCACTGTCTCAAATTGATGGTAGTCATCCGCTCTAAATCCGCCATCCAAATTCTTAGTTGATGGTAGTCCTCACACATGGGCGCAAGATGTTGGGGATATGAAGACTGCTGTATCTTCCGTTGCGGAAAAAATGCGTCGCAGGCACCACACGTGGGTCCCTCCGCACCGACAGACCGACCCGGTGTTCAAGGTTAGTGTCTGCTGGACAACCGACAAAAGATCGTTTGACTTTATTTAGGTCTCATGTCAAATGAATGGCGCGAACACCAGCAGTCTCGCTTTCCAGAACAACTGTTGAAGCCTTCGAAGGCTTCTCCGTACTTGAACTCTTCATTTTTCGTTCTCCCGAATCCTCATACCAACGCCGTCACACGCCGTCACTACTCCAATCTCATAAACCACAAAACATCGAAGGAGCACAAGACTTTGGCCACTCAAAGATGGCAAACTCGACCCATCGAGCCAAACGCGTCCTTCCCAGTCTATCAATTCCAAACTATAGACTATTTGGACTTGTGGTACTTCTGGTCAAGGATACCTTATGTTCATCGAATTTTGCCTTGGATTGTATCTTTCTGCATGGGCACTTGAGTATTGAACACCAACATGTTGCCACATGCCTTGTTTTCTGTGCAACCAAGGGACCAAGGGGTGAATCCTGCAACTTCCATTCGTAGTGTTTTTTGTGGGTGTCATGGCCTGCGGTTTGCAAGCCTCTTCTTTCATGAAAACACATATCACTGGATCCCACGATGATCGGGAACTGATGACCTGGTGAGACCCTTCTGCCATGCCACGACCACTAGACTTGCTTCGACCACGACCACCTGGCGCGGGACGAGCTACCCTCCACGAGGAGGAACAAGACCTTCGACCCAAGAAACTGTTTGCCACGTCCCACCCTGCAAGCTGCTAAGGGTCGTGAACACTTGGTAGCCAACAACGGGAGTGCAGTGCTTGTGTAATCATAGAATGTTGTGGCCCTCTAGCTTGATGAGGAAATTCTTGAATGAGATTGGAGCCGTGACCAAGGAACCATGAACAATCAACGGAGTAATCAGCTTTGGGAAGCCAGATGGGCATCTCCCGGCAGGAAGGCTTCTCCGAGATGGGGATCCGGCGGGGGATTCTCCGGTGGGGATCCATTCCCAAGCAGAAGGATCAAACCAAAAACTCTGGTATTTACGGTTTCAGAGGTTCGATCCGATGGTAGGTTTGGGTTTCAGAGGTGAAGAGAGTCAGAAACCTAGCATCCACGAATCTCATGTCAATTCCCTACAGAACCGGAGACCAAAGTCTACGTCGCAAAAGCTGGGTGGTTTACATGGACACTGACGACTGACAAGGCAAGAGGTCTTTTTCTTTCCTATCTGACACCGGGAACAGATTTGCACATCCATATTCATCTATATAGAAGACATCTTGGGGCTTGTGCCAGGCTTGTGCCATGCTGTGCTTTCGCAGGGCAAACCAGTCGGCCAAAGGTAGATGTAAATACTGTGTGTCAATGTTATCTGAGAAGAGAACCTCTCCTGCCAAACATGAGAGGTCAAACCTGTCTGACTGCCCAGCTACATACATGTACCCTTCCAGTGGAAGAGTCACTTTTGTGCTATACACAGTTGGCATCCCGAACGCATGGTGAATCCGATACAAATCTTCATCCCATGTTCTGTGGGATCCTTGTCGCACTGGAAACACCCACACAAAAAATGCAATAATATTAACCAGAATTCTGGGATGGTGAAATTGGCTGAAGCGCTACCAAGAGCAAACCCTCTGTTGTAAGAGTCGGCCTTCATGGGTGATGCCTTGACAATAACGCAACGCTTGGATGACAAACGGTGTTTCCGTCCATGACATCAAGTACGGGTGTTCTGCGCACAACTGGTATAGTAAATTGAGGTCCACCATCACCACCAGAAACAACAACAACAACAACAATGTCTTGTTCAACCGAAAACATTCCGCAACCCACAACTGTTCAAAGGTCAAATTGTTCAATGGGTCTTGCATCAAGATCATCAAGTACATCCTGTCCAAACTGTGTACCTGTTAGGTATATCCAGTCCTCTGCACTAGATGGACCGTGTAGCAAACCCCCCGTCCCGAAAGTTGTCTTATAGCTTGCACAGTGGGGGTGCTGTGTCAATTGTGAATTTTCGATATGGACTCGTCGGTCATGGGAAAACCCGTGGAAAACTCTACAGCTCAAATGAAAACCCAGGCCACCAACTCAGCCAAATGGTTCCTCCTTTTGGGGGATGTATGTTAAAACATGAAATTTATTAACGACAGCTGGGTAAAACAGTGTAGTATAAGTATAAGTCTAAGTAATTTTCAATGGTTAGCACCCCCACTTCCAAATCTATTCCCGTCAATCGTACGGTATTATCCCTCAGATATTGGAGCCAAGAGATTGTCCCCTAAATGTTGCATTGTATGACATATTTTTCCGGACACACTGTGCAACAAACAATGTTCAGTGTTTATGCAAATTTTGTATTTAGTACCCGTCACAGAAGCGTGCACCACAACCGTGCTCGACCATCTGCCATGCCACTCTTGGATTTGCTCCGAGTTCGGCCACCTCGGGTAGGGAATGTCGGACCATCCCAGGATTAGAGTGTGGTTGGGCCAGTTGAAACAAGATCTGTAAACAAAAAACGATGCGATCTGAAACCTTCTTGTTGCAATCCAAGCAACATGACCCAAACCAAACCCCATATTTTGGGTGGGTAGGTAGCTGCTATAGATACACGAATGTCAGCTGTTGTCCACTCAAGTCACCCTTTTGAGAGCCGCCAAATCTTGAGCAATCACGGTAGCACTTGCGTCATCAACATAGACGCGGTCTCCTTTTTTATGGATCGAATTGAATTCCTTTTCAGCAGTTTCAATCCGATTGTGGTTGTTCATAGCACCCGGTGCGGGCAACCCTTTCTCTTGAGGCAGGTCACATCCTTGCTTTCGTAACAGCTGACACTACAAGAGCTCCTTGCACCGCCAGTCAGTTCAACCGGAGAGCCATACCCGAACTGGAGCAAAAATCTGCGGAAGTTGGGTGTTGCACCGGGTGGAGCTGTCCACCTGCAGGCAAAAGCCGCGTGGTGAAGTGGCGGTGTCAAGCCCCGCTCAAGGCGAGCGTGGCCCTGGCGGTTCGTGTGGGGGGGGTGCCCTCTGCACCCTCCCAGTAGCCGCGCCGCAAGCACTGAGGTAACCATGGAGAACATGTTGTCTGACCATCCACCCGAATACCCAGTGCCAAGGAGAAAAGAAGAGCACCAAGACACACAGATTGACTGACATGCCAATGGTGAGCAAAATGCAAAAGGAACATGCAAAGCCGCTGAGTCTATGGGTTGCGAGCTTTGAGACACTGGCAGAGCTCCTTGGTCAACTGACCTTGGCCTTGGCGGGCTGGTTCTAAGATCCAAGAGAGGCGCCCCCGACGAACAAGCGCATGACAGAGAGAGAGAGAGAGAGCCATTCTTTGCGGGAACTCTCCGAAGCCACTGCTGAAAAGTGAACCTATCTTCCACTTGCGACGGCCTTCTTTGAACAAGGGAGTAGAAAGAGCCTCGAGAGAAGCTTTGCCATCTCCATCGGCACTTCCATCGGCCACTTGAGCAAGAATCCGTCCCAAGACAGTAAAGTAAAGGAAAGACTTCCTCGTACCAAACTCGTGAGCTGCTGACCAGCCCTGCGTTGCTCCGGAGTCTGCTTGTTGCGCCACAAAGTAAGCATATCCAGCAAGTATTTCTGATCCTCTTGGAATTGGCAGGTCCATGGTCGACTCCAGAAGGTGTGAGCGCAAAAGCTATGTGAGGAGCTGATCGTTGCCCTGTCCATGGTGGGCTGCCCCTGCCGGTCCCTGCATCCGGGGGTGCTTGGCATCCGGAGGGTCGACTCCTGCTTGAAGAGCCTGTTGGGCCGCTTGGACTGCAGAAGTTGCATTAGGAAAGACAGAGGCACAGAAGACCCAACGCAACAAACATAGAGGCTGAAGAGAAGAGGCAGCGTCAAATGCACAACTGCTGGCGATCAACATGCAGCCACAAGTTTGTGTCAAGAGGTAGAGCACAAGCCACTCCTCTTTTGGCAAGTCACAGTATGGCGACCGTGAGATTTCAACAAGCCAAACACATTACCACAATGAGGAGGGCAAGGATACCCAGGAGCAGGAACATCTCGTTGCAAGAAACGGACCCGATAGATCCAATTGTCAACGTTCACGCGAGCACAGCCACGCATGTGCTTACGACACGCATGGCCGGAAGCACTTTGTTGATGACACCACAGACAGGCAGTGTCCCGTTCCGCAGCAGCATAAAGAGGAGGAGGAAGATCAGTCAGGGTCATAACACTCGCCTTCTTCAACAACAGCGGGCTCTTGTGGTACTTCATCCAAGCCGCAAGACATCGTCGTGGCCAACAGGGAGTGATAGGTTGGGGAAAGTCAGGTAGCAACAGGAGCTGGAGGAATCACCACTCGTTGTTGGCGATCAACCTCAGGAGGCGGAGGAGCTCTCTGGGCCACTTCCGGACTGAGCGAACCACAAAAGACACAAATAGGTACCGTCATCCTGCTGGATGGCCCCCGTGGCGCGATTGCGAGCGGCTAGCCCATCTGCCGAATGTTCAAAAGGCTGTATCCCCAGCCGCCAACTTCTGACGCCACACCGTGCCATCACAACGACACGCTATCGATTGCAACTGAGAAGCCTCACCGCCCAAGACAGCACGGATCAAATGCCAATAGCATTGCCGAAGAGTAGGACCAGTCTTTTTGCCTCGTTCCTTCCCTTCAGGCCAAACGGTGGCAAACAATATTTTCTTTTCCAAACGTGCATCTGGGAGCCGAGCAAGGTCCCAAACATTGCAACTGGCGTTTTTCAATCACATGGCGCCCCAAATATTGCAACTGCCGCTTTTCAATCACATGGTGAACAGGAACCAATCCACATTTCTTTCTCAAGTCAGCCAACGTAAGCTGATCTTCCTGCACGGTGCACCTTCGTTGGGAGCACAAAGCAAAAGTGATGCGGCTGACGAAGGATTGATATCGCTTGAGTTGTTGCTGATGACAGTACAAGAAACCACAGCACCTTTCTGCTGAGGAGAGAGACCCAAGCGTTGAAGTCGAGGGTGAAACTTCTGCCAGATGCGTTGAGCAGTGGACAGCCGTTCAGATGTGTCTCGATCATGACGGCCATGATTGAGACTCGAAAGAGACCAGTAGTGCCAGCAGCAAACAATACCGCCTGTAAACAGAGCTGTTCCAAGAGGTGAGGGTGTCCAGCAAGCTTTTTTGGAGGTGAATGGGCGCCTCCAGGTCCACTGTACACTGCAGACCAGCATGTTGGGGATCAACATCTCGGTGAAAGACACGGCTAATAGCAAAGTTGTGGTAAAAAACATATGTAACATATGGGAGAGCTGGGGCAACCCTCCCGAAATCCAGAGGCCAATTCAAATTTTTCACTGTATTCTTGTCTTGAACGAATGGCACCTGAGAAGCTGCAAAACGAAAGCCAGCGTTTTTACTTTCGAGTGTGGTTTCTCAGGCCACCCCCCAGAATCCCCCTTCTTACTCAGCTGGCGCAGGTATAGATACCCAGGGCAACTACAATTCAGTTACCAGGTATAGTACTTCAAGTTCCCTTTCCGTCAACCGCTCGAAAACCTTTACACATGCACAGCAATCCACAGCTTTGAAGTCTCATTCTTGCATTGAACTTATATAGGCGTGTAAGAGGTATAGCAACATAGCATTTATACGGACCCAGGGTAGCTACAATTCTGTTGCCAGGCACCCCACTTCAATTTCCCTACCCCGGGTCCACCCGCGCGCGCGCGCCTTGCTGGCTCCTGGCTGCCTGTGATTTAGGCGCGCGCACATGGTCAGGTCAACACTCGATGCATTGTACAAACACTCATGAAAGGGGGTAACATGCCGGCGTTGACTCTTCGAGTGGCAGAGCTGCAAGAGGTTGTCTTGATGTCGACTCTGTACACCATTAAGGATGATGTCAACTGGGCGGTGGCCAAAAGCTGCCGCGAAGTTACTCCTGATCTCATCTTTCCCCGTTACGAAGAAATTGCTGCTGAATTGCTCAGTACTGTCCAGGCGAGGACATCTGCAGAGCAGGGCAGCTACAAGGCAGTTGCCCGTTATACCCAGGGTAGCTACAATTCAGTTGCCAAGTATAGCACTGCAACCAACCGAAGACAATTGCATTTCTTAAAATCACAAAAAAGAACCTCCAAAACCTTGCTTCCGTGCACCCCTACACACCACCTACTTTCGAGTGTGCTTTCTCAGGCTACCCCCCCGATCCCCGCCCTTTTTGCTCAGCTGGCGCCTTGCCAGTATAGATGCCCAGGGTAGCTACAATTCAGTTGCCAGGTATAGTACTTCCAGTTCCCTTTCCGTCAACCGCTCGATAACCTTCGCGCGCGCGCCTTGCTGGCTCCCGGCTGCCCGTGATTTAGGTGCGCGCGCGCGGACCCAGGGCAGCTACAAGGCTTTTGCCAGGTATACCCTGAGTTGCGCGGACCCAGGGTAGGGAAATTGAAGTGGGATACCTGGCAACAGAATTGATGCTACGTTGCTATACCTCTTACACACCTATATAAGTTCAATGCAAGAATGAGACTTCAAAGCTGCGGATTGCTGTGCGTGTGTAAAGGTTATCGAGCGGTTGATGGAAAGGGAACTTGAAGTACTATACCTGGAAACTGCACTATAGCTACCCTGGGTATCTATACCTGGCAAGGTGCCAACTACACCTTACCATTCAGGTGATGCAAATGATGCAAATTGCATTTCTTGCATCGCCACCCCTCAAAAATCACCTCCAACACAACCCCAAAAAAACCTTTCACCCGTCCACTTTCCTCCCCCAGCATGTGCCGAGTTTAGGTGTACCTTTTGCGGGCCACCCCCCCAGACCCCCTAACTACTCACTTCGTTCGCCAAGCACAACTCAGCTGGCGCCTTCTACGAAGGCTGGCTCATGGTGGGATCATGTAGACCAGAAAGAACTCGCAGCATGCCTTTGGGGACATCTAGACGGTGGAAAAGTTTCCAGGCCAAGCAGTGCTGTGTTGAAGGATACGCCTTGATAATATCCCACAGAACAAAGACCATGGAGCCCCGTTCAGGATCAGCAGCTCGTTCATGAGAATTGGCCATGTCTAACAACATTGTCGTCCATACAGCGTCGATTAGGGCGAAAGCTGCAAGCGATTCCCTTCAGCCCACTTCTGTAAACGGGCAGCTGTAACCTTG